GCTAGAATAGGCTGAAAAAAAAAACCCTCTGCTGTTATGGCCCCTGCACATGAAGATAACACCCCTGTGAGCACACACCAGTTTATTTAACAAAGTAAACACCTGGTGGCAGGCTCATGCTCCACAGACCCGGATACACCAGCAGGAAAGCACACACACAGAGGAAAATGTGTCATATTTATGTTCTGGTCAAACCAATAAGTACTTGCAAACGTGGAGGCAACCTTCTCAACTGTCAGCTGTGAAACCAAATCTGCCTTAAGGTGAAACTGACAACACAACAAGAGATTCTGAGCCAGGTTGCCTGTCAACACGTGAGGCTGAGTGGAGACTGTGGTGTGCACTGGCAAAGTCAGCTGTGGTGTAATGATATCTTTTTTTTTTTATCTAGAATTTTTAACCATTTCAAGGGGCCTGTGGGGTAAAACTGTGGCCAGATGTTAGCAGATGCCACACTGTTCACATTGCCCCACTTAATCAAGTCCTTATGTATGACCTAAGTTTATGTGTATTCTTATGGGCAGAGCCACAGGGGTGGCACCAGCTGACCCCACAATCTGATTGGCAACCCCTGCCAAAGTCAGAATGTGATGCTTGTCGGTATTAATGAAAGAATGGGGGGAAAAAAAGAAGCAAACTGTTGCCTTAAATACAACCTGCATTTTTCTGATGCTTTATAATTGATATTGGTCAAATTAATGTCACTTTACATCATGCATGCAGCATGATATTTGCATTCCTTTCTCCAAGTACTTGGCCTTAATGGGGCGAACCACTGTGAAGCAGTGATGTCCCCCCCCCAGCCAGGAGTAAATAAAGAGCACAGCCATTATTAGCTAAAAAAAGCACTGTGTCTGTCTCACACAAGGTAAACAATTAGAGCCTAAATAATGTATGGTTTATTATTTTATAGAAATTGGGGTTTAATTTACTTGTTGCATGTATTTTGAATTTGCCACCCCTCTCTGAGTCTGTGCCCCAGCCTGGCCACCCTGTCTAGATCCGCCCCTGTGTACTTTAATTGTTTATTTATCCATGTTATATGTTGACAGCATCTTCATCCAGTCAAGGGTGTGACATATTTCCTCAAATATGTGATAATCTTCAGGATGCTCTTGATTTGATTTGATTTATTCTTTCAAGCATGTACAACAGCTGATATGACAACACACATAATTTTACACATAATCCAATATCAATTTACTTATACCTAGTACATGCTTGAATGGAGTAGGAAGAAGTCAGACTTATCCAGTCCTACCCCATAACATCATCTTACCATCATTGGTTTGCAAGCAGTAAATGATTCACTTCTACACCACACAAGTAATATACTAAAGAATTATTACAGAGTACTAACATTCATACCCCACACCCACAATGTTCCATCTAATTAATCATTAAACCTGTTCTTGCATATATCTTGATTGACACATACCTTTATATTTATGTTTAAACTC